GCACACAGCCTTCCTTCTTAGCAGAGCTGGGCTGCTGAAACCACCCTCCCCATTACAGACCCTTGGAGCAGAGGCCATGGTACATAATGCACATTTTTAAGATGCCTTAATCGCTTCTGTCCTATACGAGCAACCACATGGGTCTTGGGGAGCAGAGGTTATGCCTCATCATCGCACCCCAGCACTACAATGCAGCTGCCAGGATGGTAGGTGTCAGCCTTCCCACAGGCTGCTAGGCAAAGAAAGAGTGGAGGGCAGAGTCGAAGCCAGCTCTGCCACTTTGGGTGTGTTACAAAGCCGCGCCAAGCACCTCCTGCACAGGTCCCTGTGAAAGACCCACTCAATGCGGCCTCTGATGGGCAGGCGGGCACACTGTAGGATCATCCCAGAGGATGAACTGCAGCTGCTGCAACATTGGAGCAACACCAGAATGCTTTACTGGAGACAAGGGGCTTGCAGCTGAGCAGCTAGGGCTGTCTCCACACCTCTTTGGTGCCTCTGTTCAGACACAAGATAGTAATCAATTCTGGTTACCAGATGAGCACTAGGAGCAAGACAGAAACCACTGCCCTTGGTTCATATCACCTACCAAACAGCTGCAGCAGCCACCATGGGCAGATCTTGGGTTTTTAAAACAGTGGGGTGCAGATGGTGCAGTGCATTATCACACGACACAACACATTTTCTCCATGTGACGGGGCCGTCTCGCACTGCTCCGTACCGTCCCTACACCGTATCCCATGCCTCACAGATGGCATCACTATGTAGCTTCAGTCCCACGATGGGCCTCATTCCATGCCCGCCTGACGTCCGGATCCCACCTGGATCCCTCCTTCTCAGGTGGTCTAATCTCGGCCCTCATACTGGGCTGCCAAGCTCCCTGAACCCTTCTCCCTCGGCTGTAGTCCCCTCGAGGACCTTTGGCCACACAGGCCCTGGCCTCACCTCCAGGCCAGTTGGAAGCCCAGGCCTCTGGCTCTGGGCGTCCCTAAGGGTGGGCGCTCTGGCCCTTTGACTGATCTGGTCCTGGCCCCAGCATTGACTAGTTGAGGGTTTCTCCAGTCAAGTTATGAACTGGTCGCTCTCTCTCCCGCATATGGGTCCTCCTTCTCGGGCCCTTCCAAACTCAGCTCACTTAATCAAGCCCAGCCTATGCACAGCCCTTCCGGCCCCCTCATATGGACCCTACTCTATGCAGCCCAAGCACAGTCCTTCGGGTTGCCCATGTGAACCCTACTCTACGCAGCCCTCACTGCTTTCACACACGCCATCACTGGGCCGCTACTCCACCCCTCACTGAGGCTCTCGGCCTTATGCCCCTCGAGTCTGAGGTTTGATGACATGCCTGGACCCCCTGCTCTCTCCTCTATGGGGTAACCCACCAGGTTGTGGGGGATGAGGCTATAAGGCACCCTATATCTACCTTTCACTAGGGAGGCAACTGGTGTGGCATTTCCTGGGGACCACCGCACCACAGACAGCCCCATCACACCATCCTACCCTAGCAGGGTGTCGTTTTAGGTCATTCCCCAGGAACCTCCTCCATCGCCATAGTTCATACCCTTAACCACCATGTGCTCTGAGAGCACCAGTACTTCGGCCGGGCGACGTTCTCTTTCTGGCTCCCTCCAGCAACTGCCAGCTCAGCTCTGAGGGCCTGGGTTTATATTGAGGCTGCTCAGCCCCATCCTCCAATCCACGAGCCCTCCCGTGGTCATGTGACTGCTTCAGTAGGCTGCACCGCACCTGCTGGCTGCTCCACCGCCTGCTTAACCTCCTAAAGTGGCAGGCACCAAAGGTGCCCTGCCACACTCCACTTAAAGAGAAACTAGAAGGTTTATTAATATGCTAGGCCCCCTAGCACCATCTAATTCAGTTTAAATTCAAGGCTAAAACAAATATAACTTTACTGGAATGTATGTTAATTCACTAGATGTGATGGGCTAGCTGGTAGTGATTTGGCCCAGGGGTTTTGAAAAGGTAAAAAATGATTGGTGGGGGGGATTCCTTTTCCTCACCAATCAGGCCTTCAAGAGGGGGAAGGCTTCAGGCTACATAGATAATATATTTAAGTCCAAAACACACAACAAGCTAGGCAAAAAGCAGTCAAAATAGTCAAAGGATTTTGTTTCATTAGTCCTGTAGTCATTATAGTTACACATACATCTCTTATTCAGATTCATAAAACAAAATCTAGCCTTCTTGAGTGTCTTGACAGGTGCCTCCAATATTTCATTGTCAGTCATTTCCATACCTGAGTATTACCACACCTAAGTTAAGGTTTTTAGCTAGAGCTAAAAGCACTCTACAGGGTGGGAAATAGAAGAGAGGCATTAACAGGAAGGTCTAACAGACAGCAGCAATATTACAGAAGAAAGGAAAGTTTGAATAGTGGAACATCAAGGCCATTAAGAAGGAGAGAGGGTCATTAACACCTGTGGAATGAGGAGAGATTAGCAGGAATTGGGTAGATGGTAGTGAGCCAAGAAGTCAACTGACCCTCTCACTGCCGCCTAAATAGAAATGCCACTGCCAGGCAGTCGGTTTTTAAGTTTGGGTTGAGGAAGAATCAAAGCAGGGTGCAACAGCTCCAATACATGCCCCTGTATCTGCCACTGCTAGCCACTTGGAGTTGCTTCAAGCCTGGATTTGGAATAGGAAACTTTAGAGGGGAAATTTGGGGGATTCGTTACAGTCTATGGCTTGCTACCAAATCTCTGAGCCTGCCAGTTCTCCTTGGAAATAAGATCTAGTAACTCTGTGACATCATTTAAAACATGGGTGAAAGCCAGAGTCTGGGGAGGAAGGCTTGCTTCAGAGGCTGAGCCACCACCAGACAGACCCCTACCTCCTTGGCTCTCCTCAGCAATTTCTCACAGCATCACTGTGTTGTGTTGGATATGACAAGCTACAACATCCTACTGCAATGAGAGGTAGGATTGGGGCAGACAAATTAAACCAACTTAAACAGGAAAAAATCTTACCATGCACCGGAGGCCAGATTTTATTCTACTTATTCGCCACCTCAATGCACTAAGGCGCCTAAGCGTGATTCCATTCCACCCTGCTCGAGCCCCTGAAAAAACGTTCATACAGAAGGTGGGTGGATCTTCGCCCGCCTCCTGGCTGCGTTTTTGCGACTCTTCAGGGCAAGATAATGGTGTGTTACAAAAGCAGACACATTTCTGGATTTTCAGGGACTTGAACAGGGTGGAATAAAACCACGCTTCGTCCACTTCGACTCCCAGGAGGTGGCACTGAATCAAGCCCCAGGTAATGCTCTATCCTGCTATAAGGGGAAGCTAAATTGCTGTAACTCAGCCATGCTTCATTCAGGGGTGAGCCATCCCAGTTCAGCTTCCACTTACTTGGGATAGAGCAAACACACAAACCAGTTACCATGAAACCACTGAGGCACAGCACTGGTAAATGCTCCTGACACCCTTACGTCAGCATAGCTCATTTGACCATCCATACCCCGAGACCAAATAAGCTGGTATTACAGACCTGGGTTCATGGTGCCAGATTCCCTCTCCCCAAGGCAGAGACAAGCCAACAGCTCGATAGCTCCCGTCAACTAGAAGGTGAGGACTGGAATGAGAGGTTTTTAAGACCCAGCTAGACAAAGCCTTGGCTGGGATGATGTAGTTGGGGCCGGTCCTGCTTTGAGCAGGGGGTTGGACTAGATGTGACCTCCTGAGGCCCCTTCAAATCCTAATTTTGTATGATTCTAGGACTCAGATTTTGCCTTCTCCTCATTAGATCCTGGCCTAAAACAGGCCAGATGCTGTCCAGGGAATAATGCTGTTCTTGAAGGCACCCTGTAGCAGGGGGTCACCCCAATCCTGGCCAGTCTTTAATAGGTTTTCCTGCATGCAAGAACTGCTTTAGGCCTTCCAAACTGCATCTAGGTGGGGGGGTTGAGGGAAGAGCTTCCCTCTCCGCAGAGCTTGGGGCAGAGAGGGGAAGGTTTGGGAGGGGTTACTCTGATGTTGCTCCAGTTGCCTGCTGGTAGCATTGGAAAGTTCCCTGGTCCTTTTGCCCACTGACAAGGCCAATGGTCAGCTGGCTCCGGTGCTGATAGGGAAGGGCTGGAGGAAGGGGTTTGACCTTCATATTCATATTGACCTTCATATTCATATTCATATTCAGTATTTGAAAAAAAAATGCATCCAAGCAAAGTTTGGATAAACAAAAACAAGATTCTTAAGACATTTTATATACATGAAAGAGTATACAACAGCAGTATACCTTTTTGCTGTAAGAATACCTTACAGCAGCCCTGTGAGGCAGGAAAGCAAAAATCCCTGGCTTATAGAAGAGGAAACTGAGGGCAAGAGAGCAGCTAAGTGACTTGCCAAAGGTCAGACAGGTCATCTGTGGCAGAGATAGAGTGCTAGCAGCCATATCCTCCTCCCTAGCTCAAAGCAGAGCCAAAACAGACACTACTGTTGGTACATAATGAAGAAAACACTTAAAAGTTTTACTATGTCTTTGAGGCAAACATCACACCCTTTTGATTTTCTATAAGCGTCATGCAGGCCTAGGAAGTGACAAAGGAATGCATCGTACGCATAGGTCATTTCGAACCCTCTGATTATCGCAATGTTTTATCCTAAAAGCCAACAATGCTGAGTGAAGGGAACACATGCACAGCTCCCTGATGAACCGAAGACTTGTCTCAGAGCAAGAAATATTTTTTTTTCCTTTAAATTTTGTAAAGACCTGTTTCTTTAATTTCTTACCCTCTAAACCCACAGCTGCTTTAGTGAGAGATGGGGAAAACCCCCTCAGGTGACTTGCCTGAAAAACAAGAATGACCAGGCAAGTGTTTCTCCACTCACCACTACCACTTAAGAGGAACAGTTCTGCCCGGGACCAATATTAAAAGGGCTGTCGCAGCTGCAATGCAGAGCTGGGTAGATGAGGAGAAATCAGGGGAGCAAAGCTCAGCACGTTTGCAAAAGATTCCAAGAATACAATTGAAACTCCGTCCTTACCTGACAGGATAGCAAATTGCCGGTGGAGCTGTTCTATTATGTCCACTGCAACCAGCGGCCTTATCTCCTGCTGCATGATTTCATCTGTACAAGTGAAAACAGAAACCCACAATGAGTTAACCAGACCCTTCACTGGAGCTCCACCAGAACCCAGTCAGACAAAGGAGATACTCAGAGGTTAAGAGCCTGGCTTGATCATTGGCTCTGATGTTATCATATGACTCTTCATAGTGGAGAAGCTCATGATACTGGTAAAAAAAAGAAAGAAAGAAAAAGAAAAAGTCCCATCTCCAGCCTGAATACTTTATCCATTGTCTTGGGATTTCACAGAGTGCTTTTCATAAGCCAATGCCAATAGATTTGCCAGGGCTTGTCACAAGTTTGCTCAAGACGATGGGCCTCTCTTTGCAGCTCCATGTTTCCTATTAAACGACTGCATCTGGGTTCCCAGATAAAGCAGCTTTTCAGTCTTTTGAAACAGCAATGTCTATTTTAGCTACAGGACCACGTCGTCGTGCCCCCACCCACGCACACTGATTTCTTTTGCCGATTCTTTTTCTGCAACAAGAAAACACAGAGCAAAAGGAGGAAATAAGGAAGTATGAGGCTTTCTTGTGCAACCCGCCCCCCCGATCTTCTAAAGTAGGGATTGAAAAGCAGCTAATGTCCATGGAGGGAACCACCACAAGTTGAGTGTTTTTACTCTGATGCATTTAATGACCAGAAACCACAGGCAGGCCCTGGGCTAATTAGATCCAAAATATGGGGCCAGCCCAGTTTATTTCTGGCCGGGCTTTACTTTGCAAGACGCCATTTGCCCACCTGAATGGCCGGCTCCAAGTTCGGTTATACCAGGTAACAATGCCTAGTGCATCAGGTGCTGTACCAACCAGTATAGACAAAATGGCCTTGTCTATAGTGTTGCAGCGGTTGGCCCCAGAGAGGAAGGGCTGAGCTCACCTTGCTTGTCCGAGTCCGACGCGTTTCAGAACTAGAAATTTGCCTGCAAGACTAGTCCAGGCCCATCCCCACTTATTTTCAGAGCCACTGCAGCCTGAAGGCTTGGGAGCAGGCACTTGGAGACTGTAGTGATCACCAGGTTCAATAAATACAGGTATACATGAATGAGAAGAATTAACAATAAACTTTAAACGAAGAGCAGTAGGCAACCTCTGTAGACCCCTTTGTCTGTCTCTGACTAACTTAACTTGGGAACCGTTGTCCAGATCCCAACCTATGTAGCCTTCTTAGTCAGGGAGTGTCTCTGTTATAACCTCTGTTGCTACAGGGACAAGTCCGGAGCAGCCTCACGGGATAACTTGCCAAATTGAAGTGTCATGGGTGCAAGCAGGCAAGACGGGCTCTGCCCCACCCTCACGGGGACATGTTGCTGCCGTGGCTCAGAAGAGCCCTCAGAGAGCCTGTCTTGCAGGGTTTACAATCTAAATACAAGATAAGCAAAGCGGAGAAGCATGATACACCCCTTGTACAGAGAGGGAACCAGAGACCAAAGGACATGTTTGCACAGCAAACTGACTGCACCAGGCTGTGCTCCAAACCAGCAGCAGTGACTATGGTTGTGTAGCCATCAGGTGAGTTAATTCGGATGGTTAGGTGATAGGCCCAATTAGACCTCGCCTTCACTCATTAGCCCGTCCCTAGCATTGCACTGATTGGCTAAGTTTGCCTTAGAAGACTTGTCCCAAATCAGAGGACTATGTAGAAGAGCTAAGTTTCAACACCCTTCTCCTAAGGCCATCTCCAGCCTCAGCCAACAAGACCAGCCTTCCCTTTATGATCCAGAAAAATCAGGTGCCATCTACGGCCTAAAACACGGATACTGCCCCCTTCTCAGAAGCTTTCCAGGATTCTGGCTTTTCAACTGTGCAGCATCACCTGGAAAACCTCCCCCCAGCCCCGCTTTCCCCAGGCTGGTTTGGTCTCGGCAGCTCCAGCCACCATTTTCACATAGGCGGACTGACGTGCAAGGGTCACTACCTCCCTCCCGAAGGTGAGCACATATACAGGGCATATTGGGTTGCTTCTCCCTGATGCTCCATATGCAAAGGGAAGAAGTGCCATGCCCAGCATGTTTGTCTCTGGGGGCCTACTCCCAGGAAGTAGATGGAGCAGGGCAAACAGATACGGTCACTTTAGCAAAGGGAGGCTTCTTGGGATGTCTCCCAGGCTAAATCATCCCCAGAGGAGAAGTCACTTAGTCTCACTGCTGGAGTAAAACTAGGTTCAAAAAGGGCCAAGGGTGTCTTAGCAGAAGAGCTGGGGTCCTCCTCTCAAGCAAGCAGGCACTCCAGGTGGAGGAAGGTGGGCTGCAGGGAGTGATTGCCACAGAGGTGAAAGGTGCCACAGCTGGCACCATCATGTCTATTCAAAGGGCACTGCTTAGGCACTGACCAGCCAGGCCTCCATGCCACGCAGCCCTGCCCGTGGGTGTCAAGCCCCTGTTGCCGCTCAGTTTACAGCCTCTCCGCCAACGCTACCACAGAAGCGCCAGGGAGAGGATGCAAGCTCCCACAGACCTCAGCACATGCAGAACTGCCTGCTTTTGCCCTCATTACTCGAGGGTCTCTGATCTTGGGAGGTTCACACTCAATAAAAATGCATGGCAGCAGCCAAAGGGATAAAAATCACCCGCAGATGCATCTCCATTTTCATTTCACTTATGCAGCCATTTAACAACATTATTAACAGCAGGAGTGGCTCTGGTCCTTGGCACTGTGGAGGTGGCTGGAAGCAAGTGGGAGGTCGAGCTAATGAATCACTGCGCGCCAGAGCCCACCAGCGGGTTGAGTGATGCTCATGGGGGGACAGGGGGTGGTTATTTTACTGTCTCCGAGGCACCTCCCCCAGATCAGAGCCCTATTGTGCTAGGCACTGTATGCCCACGTAATGAGAGACCATTCCTCCCTCCATTCCTATTTAGGCAAGACAAGCAAGTGAAAGAGAAAGGTAAAATGCCTTGCCTGTGGTTACGCAGCAGTCTAGTGGAGGAGGTACAATAACCCAAGTCTCCTGAGCCCAGTCCAGTACCTAGTCTTGAGCTCTTACCATTTCTGGCTCTGTTCCTTCATCTCTGCTCTGAACTGCGGGGAGTCAGGCTTGCCTGGCTCTGGGGATAAAGCAGAGCAGCAGCAGAGTGGATACTAGGCTGTAGCCAGCCCCTGTTCCAGCAGCTGAGTTTAGCCAGGTCACAACCATGCCCGGGATAATGCCATCCTCTCCCTGAGCCTTGCCCCTGAGCCCAGGGCTGCAGCAGGGGGTGGATAGATCCACAACAACTATTTTGCCTGGTGAATCCCTCCACTTTCCACAGGTAATCTCTGGAGGATGGATTCCCCGACCCCACTGCCCTTCCTGCTGCCGGAGCCAAGAGGCCCCAGAATTTGCTGCCTCCTATTAGACTTGTGCTGACATCTTTTCGGAGAAGATGGAGTGACCTCTCTGTCAGTGCAGGAAGTTCACCCATACCTGGTTTTAAGGTGAGGCCAAAGCCCATACATTTGCAAACGGGCAGCAGCTGGAGGGCAGAGGTTGGTAGACCCTCAAAGAGCCTTGAGGACCCTGGATGTTCCTGCAGGAATGGGACACCGACCCTCAGCACAGCCTGCTCCCACCCCCAGCAACATGTTGCATTCACTTTCCCAAAGCAAATGTCCCCGGACTGTGGGGAGCAGCAATTTTATGGCTTTTTCTTCATTCCTTTGCAAATACGCACCTCAAACCCATAGGGTGGAAAAGGTGCAGGGCCAGGAAGACTGTGGCCTTAAATGCAGAACGTGTTCCTGGGCCCTTATACCATGCTCACGTGGCAATTACACCTTCCACTGTGCCACCAAACCAGCCCAGCCCAGCCGCTCTGCACTTGGTGCTACTTCACACTTACCATGTGGCGGCAAGGGTGTGGGACAGGGAAGTTAAGGTGCGTTGCTGCGATTGCAAAGATGTAAATCCATGCTCACGCAGGACTTGTGCTAAAGGCTGCCCACCGTTGACCCAGCTGTAAACAGGCACCTGCTCCTTAAGGTGGGGGAGTCACAAGCGGCCAGATGGCATGGCAGCTGCATCACTCCCTTGTGTACCACTCGCTATGGAAAGGGGGGACGTTGCCACACTAGAAGTATCGGCCTTCTATACTCAAAGGGACTGTGACTGCCTTGGATAGCAGCAGACCCGGCTGTGCTAGGCTCTGTACAAATAGAAATCAGAGCTCCTTTCCCAAGGAGGGCATGCTAAAGAAAAAAAACAGCAGCTTTTTATCCAGCCACTTCCCCCTCAGTGTTACCTTCCAGAGTTTTTTAGGGTGTTTTTGGCTTGCATCTAAAGCCAAAGCCAAGCAGCAGACACCCAGCCTGATTTATGCTTCAGCTCCACAACAAGTAGAGGCCCAAGTCTCATTGCAAAGGGTCAGAGAAACACTGGACCAAGTGAACCTGGTTAGAGGGGGGCTGTGACTCCCTCAGCATGGACTTCAAAATGTGCTGATGCCTTTCCTCCAAATGTGATGGCTCAAAGTCTCCTGGCATGCAAAGCCAGACAGGGTCAAACCACAGGATGGGCCTTAGTCCTGAACCACTGGAATGATGATCAGAGATGAGTCATTGCCCAGACCCGCCTTGGCACCTCCAAACTCAGAGACTGGGTGAAGGAAGAGGGAGCTGGGATCAGGCTGGGGATTGTTACTGACAGCAGTGTCACAAAGTAAAATAGATGGGGGAAAAAAATTAGCGAACACCACATAAAGAGAGAAAAGCACATCAAAATGACCATACCCCAAACTGACTTTTGTCTCCAAAATGTGAGAAATACCAGGGCCTACAAAGACCATGAAAGAGGCTCAAATACTGGAATGAGTAATAGCAGAATAAAGCAGTATAGCTGGATTCATTCGGGATTCTGAGGTCAGCTTGCTCTCGATGCTGCAGGTATGGGGCCCCCTCAATGGCAGAGTTTGTTAGAGCTATGCAGGCTCACTGGGTGTGTCTACAGGTGCATTTACGCCGGTTTAAATTTACCATGCAATAAGTTACTGTGCAGGAAGCGGGAATAGGCCGGCGTCTACACGTGTA